TCTCAAAAATCCTCCAGGAAATACTAGCAAGCCAAATCCAGCCACATACAAAAGGGCTTATACAGTACGACAAAATGGAGTTTATCCTAGGAATACAAGATTGCTTTAACATCCAAAAGTCAATCAATTCAACACAGTGTTGTTAATAAAGGATAAAAAAAAAAAAACCACATGATCATCTCAACAGATACAAAAGAGAAATTAAAAAAAGTTTTTAATACTGCTTTTAAGTTGTTTCCCTCAAAAATTTGAAATGGAAGGAAATGTTCTCAATCTAATGAAGAGCATCTCTTAAAAACCCACAACTAACATGCTGCTTAACGGTGAAGACTGGAAGACTCCCCCTAAGAGCAGGAGCAGGACAGGGTGCCCACTCCTTCCACTTCCACTCAACATTGTACAGGAGGCCTTAGCCAGGGAAATTAAGCAAGAACTATAAATATAGGCATATATATTGTAAAGGAAGAAATAAAACTCTGCTTCCAAATGGCATGATACTGTGTATAGAAAATGCTAAGGAATATACTCACACCCAATTACAACTAATCAACAAATTTAGCAAGATGGCATGATACAAACTCAGTGTATAAAAATCAATTGCATTTCTGTACAGCATCACTGAATAAATAGTCCTGAATAAAGTCCTAATGAAGAGGAGCGGCAGCCCATGTCCCTCAACTGGAAGAGTGAATATTGTTACGAAGACAACTCTCCCCAAATCAATACAGAGTCAGTGCAGTCTCTTCAAAATCCTAGCCGGTTCTTCCCAGGTATTGACAAGCGGATTCCAAGATGCACATGGAGAGCAGAAGCCCAACCTAAACTAAGCATCCATGAGAAAGAGAAAGCTGGAGGACCCCCCCCAGCTCCAGCTCGCTGGTTTCCAAACCTGCCACAAACCTACAGTCGTCCAGACAAATGCCATATGATATCAGTTATACGTGGAAAGTAAAATATGACAAAAATGAACCTATCTACGAAGCAGAAACAGAATCATGGACATAGAGAACAGACTGGCGCTGGGCAAGGGGGAGGGGGCTGGGGGAGGGAGGGAGAGGAGGTTTAGAGTTAACAGATGGAAGTTTTTATATATAGAAGGGATGAACAAAAAAGGCCCTGATGTATAGCACAGAGAACTGTATTCAATATCCTATGGTAACCTTAGTGGAAAAGATTATTTTTCAAAATACATACATATATATATATGTATAAAAATAACTGAATCACTTCACTATAAAGCAGAAATTAAAACTGCATTGCAAATCAACTATACATCAATGAAAATTTTTTAAAAGAATGGGAAAAAACTATAATCATCAAGAGTGTGGAACTCCTATCAGAATAGCCATATAGATCAGTCAAACAGATCTGAGAGCCCAAAAATTAACTCTTCATAGACATTTTTTACTTTTGACATGAGTACCACAAAATTAAAAGATGCTTGCTCCTTGGAATAAAATCCATAGCAAACCTAGACAGCCTATTAAAAAACAGAGACATCACTGCTGACAAATGTCTGTAGAGTCGAAGCTATGGTTTTTCCAGTAGTCATGTATGAATGTGAGAGATGGCCCAATAAAGAAAGCTGAGTGCCAAAGAACTGATGCTTTTGAACTATGATGTTGGAGAAGACTCTTGAGAGTCCCTTGGACTGCGAGGAGATCAAACCAGTCAATCCTAAAGGAAATCAGTCCTGAATATTCATTGGAAGGACTGATGCTAAAGCTCCAAACTTTGGCCACCTGATGCAAAGAGCCAACTCATTAGAAAAGACCCTGATGCTGGGAAAGATTGAAGGTGGGAGGAGAAGGGGACAACAGAGCGCAAGATGGTTGGCATCACCAACTCAATGGACATGAGTTTGAGCAAGCTCTGGGAGACGGTGAAAAACAGGGAAGCCTGGCGTGCTGCAGTCCATGAAGTCACAAACAGTCGACCCCATGAACAATAGCAACCAAGAAAACTCAGTGCTTAGAGAATATTCTTTTCAATAATTTGTGTCCTAATAATAATTAGGACTGGATATCTGCACACCAAAATCAGGAAAAAGGAAAAAAAAAAAGAACGTAGGACCCTACTATATACCATATGCAAAATTAAAGCAATCAAGGACCTAAATTTAAGATCTAAAACTATAAATTATCTAGAAGAAAACACAGGTCTTCCTGACCTCAAGTTAGATCATGGTTTCTTAGCTATGACATCTAAAACACAAGCAATCAAAGAAGTGTTGTTGTTAGTCGCTCAGTCACGTCTGACTCTGCGACTCCATAAACTGCAGAAAGCCAGGCTTCCCTGTCTTTCGCTATTTACTGGAGCTTGCTCAAACTCATATCTGCTGAGTCGCTGATGCCATCCAACCATCATCCTCTGTCGTCCCCTTTTCTTGCAGTTCCAAGGCATCAGTTCTTCGGTGCTCAGCCTTTTTTGTGGTCCAGCTCTCACATCCATACTTAACTACTGAAAAAAACCATAGCTTTGACTAGGTGGACCTTTGTCAGCAATGCAATGTCTCTGCTTTTTAATATGCTGTCTATGTTTGTCATAGCTGTTCTTCCAAGGAGCAAGTGTCTTTTAATTTCATGACTGCAATCACCATCTGCAGTGATTTTCGAGCCCAAGAAAATAGTCTGTCACTGTTTCCATTGTTTCCCCACCTATTTGCCATGAAGTGATGGGACTGGATGCCATGATCTTCATTTTTTGAATGTTGAGTTTTAAGCCAGCTTTTTCACTCTCCTCTTTCACCTTCATCAAGAGGCTCTTTAATTCCTATTTGCTTTCTGCCATTAAGGTAGTGTCACCTGCATATCTGAGGTTTTTGATATTTCTCCTGGAAAACTTGAATCCAGGTTGTACTTCATCCAGTCCAGCATTTCGCATGATATACTCTGCATGTGAGTTAAATAAGCTGGGTGACAATATACAGCCTTGACGGACTCTTTTCCCAATTTGGAGCCAGTCCTTGTTCCACATCTGGCTCTAGTTGTTTCTTCTTGACCTGCATACAGGTTTTGCAGGAAGAAGTAGATGAGTAAAATTTTATCCAAAATAAAAACTATGTTTTAAAGAATCTCCCTGCCAGTGCAGGAGATGTAAGAGACGCTAGTTTGATCCCTGTGTCAGGAAGATACCCTGGAAGAAGGCATGGCAACCCACTCCAGTATTCTTGCTTGCAAAATTCCATAGAGAAAGGAGACTGGCAGGATATAGTCCACGGGATCACAAATAGTCAGACACGACTGAGCGACTGAGCACACACACACATCAAGAAAGTGAAAAGAAGTCCCATCAAATGGGAGAAAATATTTGCAAGCGATGTTTCTAATAATTTATAAAGAACTCATACAACTGAATAATAAGAAAAAAAGTTTTTAAAATGTGCAAATGATTTGAATAGACATTACTCCAAAGAAAATATACAAATGGCCAATAAGCACATGAAAACGACCTTCAACGTCATAGTCCTGAGGGAAATACAAATCAAAACCACAGCAAGATACCACGTCACACCCCCTAGGGCAACTGTCATCACAAAGAAATAAATAACTAGTTTCAGTGAGGACATGGAGACCTTGGAAGCCTCGTACGCTACTCGTGGAACGTAACACGGTGCAGCCTTTTTGGAAAACACCTCCTCGTGGATAGAGTTGCCATGACTTAGTCCCTCAGTGGGAGAAGGCAATGGCAGCCCACTCCAGTGTTCTTGCCTGGAGAATCCCAGGGACAGAGGAGCCTGGTGAGCTGCCGTCTATGGGGTCGCACAGAATGGGCACGACTGAAGTGACTTAGCAGCGGCAGCCCCTCGGTCGTGTCTGACGGTCTGTGACCCCATGGACTGTGGCCTGCCAGGCTCCTCTGTCCATGGGCTTCTCCAGGCAAGAACACTGGAGTGGGTTGCCACACCCTCCTCCAGGGGATCTTCCAAGCCTAGGGATCGAACCCAGGTCTCTGGCATTGCAGGCAGATTCTTTACCATCTGAGCCACCAGGGAAGCCCAGAGTTGCCATCTCTTTCTTTCTCTTTAGTCGCTAAGTCATGTCTGACTCTGCGACCCCATGGACTGTAGCCCGCCAGGTTCCTCTGTCCTTGGGATTCTCCAGGCAAGAACACTGGAGTGGGCTGCCATTTCCTTCTCCAGGGGATCTTCCCAGGCCAGGAATTGAACCCAGGTCTCCTGCATTGCAGGCAGATATTTTACCAACTGAGCTATGAGGGAAGTCCATATGACTCAGCAGCTTCACTCGGAGGTACACGCACAAGAGAACTGGAAATGTATATTCATGCGGACGCTTGTTCTCAGTGTTCCTAGCGCATTATTCATAATTGCCCAGATTGTAAATGACCCAGACGCTGGTCAGCTGAGGTCAAGCCCCCAGGATGTGCGTGTGGTCACAGCAGCCCTGCAAAGGCCAGGACTGCACACTTCCTGCTCCAGGAATTGAGGTTCTTGCTTCTGTTCCAAGTGGAATATCCCTCTGCTCGATCCTCCGGTCATTGAGGACACAGCGCAGGGGCGGAGGGCGCTCCTTGATCCACATGGATCCACTGGGTCATCCAAGTGCCCAGCGCCACCGCAGCGTCCTCATGAGGCCAAGACAGAGACATGAGGGTCAGGGTCAGAGGGCTCTGACCCGAGACGGACTTGGCAGCCCGTGTGGCTTTCAAGGCGAAGGGATGGGCTGGGAGCCAAGGAGTGTGGGCAGCCTCCAGAGGCTGAAACGGCTTCACGTCCCGAGCCTCCAGACAGAGCCAGCCCTGCCAACACCTCACCGTTAGCCCAAGGGGGACCGTGTCAGATGTCCGACCTCCAGAACGGTGAGGTGGGAAGTCTGTTTTGTGGTCAGCTACCACGTGCGTGGCGGGTTCCCTTGTAGCAGCCCGAGGGGAGGAGACACACGTCAGACCTGGGCGCCTCCCCAGGAGGAGCCCAAGAGATCGGCTGCTTTCTGCCCTCCCCGAGTCCCTGAGGGGAAGTGGCCCTTGCTGCTCGTCGCCAGGGCTGGAGCCAGATGCACAGGCGAGCCCGGCCCGGCTGGCCAAGTGTCTCCAAGCCCAGGCCCTGCGAGGGAGAGGGCACCACCTTGACCTTCATCCTCACTTGTGCCTCCTCGATTTGGGCTTCTCCTGAGAGGCAGGAAGCATTGTGCAACCTCCAGGCTCCACGGAGGACCTGGAGGCCACTCGAATCTCCAGGAGAACCGTCCATCGGGGGCGCGGAGAGGACCACAGAGGACAGGCGGGGTAGGCAGGGCAAAGCCCTAACCGGGTGGATTGCAGGCAGGGGCGCTCTGGGAAGCAGGCTGGGGGGCTCGGCTGGGCCAAGCAGGGGGCGCTTAGGACGGTGGGCCAGTGCAGACCCTCTGTCCAGGATGGGTGGCTGGGGTGGGGGCCTGATCCACCCAGAAAAGATAACTCACGGCGAGGCTTCGGGAGGAGGCGCCAGACCCCTCCTGTGGATCCAGCCCTCATCCTGGAGGCCTGGCCCCCGGCCCATGGGGTCCAGGCCCCACTCCCCCAGCCCCACCAGGCCCTCTGCACTCGCTGGCTTCTCAGGGGGTGTTTTTCTCCTGAAGAGTTCCTGCCTGCCCGTCTCCCTGGGGTGGGGGGTGGTACGCGGCCTCTCCCCTCGGCCCCAAGCTCCCAGATTTCTTTCCCTCTAATGAGCCCATCTGAGGCCCAGCGAGGCAATTAGGAGTGCCAGGCCTTCCCGTAACCGCTCCTCAGAGCCGGGCAGGCCTGCGGCCCAAGCCGCACCGCCCACCGCCTCGTAATGAGAGGGTGAAATCCGGGAATTAATGAGGACGGGAAAATTAATCACAGGTTGCCAGGCCGCGCTGAGCCCCTGGAGGCTTCCTGCAGGTTTGGAGCCGCAGACCCCCGCTGCAGAACTGGGCGTGGGGGGCGCCAGGAGAAGCAATCTGGGCTCCAGCGGGGATCACGCCACAAACACAGACGGAGTCTTCCTGGGGGAGGAGGGGGGCTGGCTGGGAGAGGCTCCTGGCTCCTGGGGGAGGGCAGGAGCCTGGAGGACAGAGGCTGAGTTCTGACCCTGCCGTGTGCTGTTCGCCCCGAGCCGGGGCGCTTAACCTCTCTGAGCTCCAGGGCTCAGGCTGGGCGCCTGCTGGTTGCCAAGTGGAGTCAACCAGGCTGTGAGTCCCGTGTGTGTACGGGGAGGCTGAGGTCTCCCACCCAACCATTTCCTCACCTGGTCTCAGCTCTGGGCTGGCTGGGAGTGGGGGTGGGAATAAACCTCAGGGCTGTCTGGGGGCTCATCAGCAGGCAGTAACAGAGAGTGGTGCAGGGTTAAAGAAGCCCCCTGCCAGTGCCGGAGACTTAAGAGATGCAGATTCAGTCCCTGGGTCGGGAAGATCCCCTGCAGAAGGGCAGAGCCGTCCCCTCCAATATTCTCCCCTGAAAAATTCTGTGGACAGAGGAGCCTGGTGGGCTACAGTCCATGAGGTTGCGAAGAGTCGGACACGACTGAGTGACTAATACCCACACACACATATACCAGGCAGTAACAAACAGCACAGTGCATCCAAAAACAGGGTCGGGGGCATTTTTTTCTTGAGGACAAAGACATTACAGATGTGTTTTCAATCCCCTTCTAAGAAAGTAAGCTTGCAGAAAAGAAATCTGGCCTTCTAGGCTCCCTACCCTTATAACAGAATCTGTCCACCTCCGTGGACTGCCGGGTTGTAAGAAGGGGTGAAAAGTGAAAGTGAAGTTGCTCAGTCATGTCCGACTCTTGGAGACTCCGTGGACTGTAGCCCACCAGGCTCCTCCATCCATGGGATTCTCCAGGCAAGAATACTGGAGCTGGTTGCCATTTCCTTCTCCAGGAGATCTTCCCAACCCAAGGATCGAACCCAGGTCTCCCACATTGCAGGCAGATGCTTTAACCTCTGAGCCACCAGGGAAGATATTTGTAAGAAGGGGTACCTCGGCTCAGAACCACACTGGTGGGTGTGCATGCACCCAGGTAAGCACAGTTCAGCTCAGCTCCGGGGCAGCCCATGGGCAGAGAGAAGCTTCCAGAGGGAGGGACGGGCCTGACTGAGGGTGAGGAGGGACTGGAAGCTGGCTGTGGGCCCCCCAGAACTAAGTGGGGGCCTGGAGATCGGAGGCTGGGGCGGGGCACCTTCCAGGTTGAGGCCTCCTAGCTGGAGGTGAGGGGTCACTGCGTGGGCTTCCACTTGAGGAAACTCAGAGCAGACCAGCTGTTGCCCTGTGCCCCAGGCCCCCTGGCCTTGCTCGCTGCTCTGTGGTCAGGGGGCCAGGTCACTGCGGCTCCCCGCCGCTGGCCTGGGGCCCTGGGAGGCCCTGCTGAGCTGGAGCGGGGATCCAGCTGGACCTCTGTGCCCCCTGCACAGTGGGATGTCAGGGGGATGCCCCAGGGCCCCTCGGAGAGGATTCTGGCCATTGATGATGCAGATTCTCTGAGGCTGGCCTCCAAGGCCCCCACAGCCCAGGAAGGGGGCTCAGGAAGCCGGGCGAGCTCGGGCCCTCGCCACTGTCTCCTCACTGGCCTCCGTCCCTGCCTGGCTCCCTCTCCTCGCCCCTCTTGCCCTGGGGCTGCACTTCTGAAGCAAACCTAGCCCAGGAGCTGCTGTCTCTCTGTCCTGGGTAGCCCCTCTGAAGACACGGACTGGGGTCTGGGGGCTCGCCTGAGAAGGAGAGGGTGTGGAAACTGGTGGTCCTGGGAAAGCCGGATGGAATTGGGGTGGCTCTGGGGGCAGGGGGGGTTGCGGGGCTGCAGATCAAGGGGCCAGGGGCAGGAGCAGAGATGCCACCAGAGGCCTGAGGAGCAGAGGGGGGACCCCCCCCCCCCCGACTGTGCACTGGTGTTGGGCTGCCAGCTACAGAAGCCCGAAGTGATGGGCTGAACTCGGTCACAGGCTGTACCCTGGCATCCAGAAGTTTCCGGCCAACTCCGCTCCAGGGCTTGCCCTACTCCATCTATCCCAGCACTCAGCCCCCATCATGCCCTCTCCTCCAAGAAGCTTCCCTTGAGACCCCAGCTGGGCCAGACCCCCGACACACTGTGGTTCCTCATGGCATGGATTTGCAAACCCCACCCCACCCCCCCCCCACCGCCCGCTGCTGCCCCGGGAGCTTCTCCAAGCAGACACACATCCAACCCCTGTGGGGGATACAGGGCCCGGCCCAGGCGCCTCACGGAAGCCAGCCGACCAGGGTGGATGAAGCAGCCGCTGAAAAACAAGCAGCTTGGAGCCCTGCACTCACCCAGGCCCTTCCCTGCCGGAGAGACTGTGGTTTGGGCCAGGTCTCCACTGGCTTCTGGAAGCACGGGTGGGCGGCCTGAAGAGGATGGGGAGGCCCGCTGTTCGTGCTCATTGAGTAAAGCCTGTTGGCTGTGCCTCCGCAAAGGTTTTCCTGGTTGGTTTAATAATGAAATGTTTTATAGCATCAAATATTCTTCCTTATTAGCCTGGAAAGGTCAGGGAGCAGCGCCTTTTTGCATTTCCCTGGTAATTCGGTCTGACCTTTAGTGACTGATGGAGACCCACCGTGTCTCCGGGGGACTGGCAAGGGGACCCAGACCTGGGTGAGGCCCATCTGCTGCTCCCTCGACACCTGGAGTGCCCGGGCACACTGAGCCTCAGTTTCCCCACCCCTGCAATGTGCTTCTGGACACCGGGGAGCCAGGGCAGCAGGGGGGTGCTTTGGGCTTACGTTCTGGCTTAGTCCGGTCAAGAGGAGCCTCCTGGCAAACAGCCTCACCCCGGCCTCACGCTACCCAGCCAAGAAGCCTGCATCCTGCTCTGGGTCCTTGGGAGGGGGAGCAGCAGAGGGGGCCCGTTTACAATCTCGGAGAGGCGGCATGGATTCTCAGAGAGGAGCTCGTTTTTAGCCATCATCCATGAGGAGTTGAAACCGCCGCTTCTGGTAACTTAAGGCAAATAGAAATCAGGGCAGGGGGGCAGTGGCAGGGGTCTCGGATGGGAACAGCAGGACAGGCAGGAGACAACCGCCACAGCCGCAGCCCCCAGTAGGAGTGCTCCCTCTGTGCCCTGCGGATGGTGCGCCTGGACCCCCGCCGGTCACCTTCAGTGGAGCTGGGCTCTGCGCCGCGGCGGGGTGGCGGGGGCCGGCGCCTGCCGCTCATCCCCTCACCTTTCCTGCCGCCTTTACTGGAAAGTGGAGCCCGCAGGGAACAGGGAGTTCCGACCTGCCGCCCAGCCCCGTCTGCCCTGGACGCTGCGGGGAGGACTGGGCTCACAGCAGATGGGCTGGCACGGGGTTGAGCGGGGAGCAGGGCCCAGCGATGGCTGGCCGGCCGGGCTCCCAGTGGAAAGCGGGGTGGGGCCCTCCCTCCCTTCCCATGATAAATGTGGTGATGTGTGGATGGCCGCCGTCAGCGCAGACGGGAAAAGCCCCGAAGAGCTCAAGAAACACCCTTTGCACAAAAACCTCTTTAGCAAGGTTTGCGGCAAGCAGAAGCCTGCCAGGCGCTCAGGCTCCGCTGGCCCGCTCCCTTGAGCTCCTTGGAGGGCCCAGTTATTTGCGAAAAACACCCAAGATCAACTTTAGAGACACTTCTCTCTACAAGAAGGTGGGAGGCTTGAGAGGAGCATGAGGAGAAAAACATGGCCCCTTCTTTCTCTCACCAGGTTTACACTTTGAAACAAGAGGCACGCATTGGGAAAACACACTCCGGCCAAGACTGGTGTGCGGCTTGGAGAGAAATAAAGAGAGGCGGGGATGGCCTGTGTGGGGCCCATGGTCTCCCATCCTGGGAGGGCAGGGCAAACCTCAGGACATTCCAGGGGACCCAGCTGGTCCAGAGAAAGGATCTATTAATGGACTGGGGTCCATAGGTCAGGAAGGTTAGGGTGTGCAGGGGGGTGGGAAGGGGGTTCCGTGTGAGGGCTTCCTTCCCATGACTATAGAGCTTCCTGGGCAGAAGAAGCCAGAGAAGATTCTGGAAGCAGGAGATGCCTCCTTTGTGCCCTGCGTCATCCCCACTGGAGCTCAGACCCCCTTCTCACCATCTTCTGTCTCCCTGCAAGGAAGCAAGGTCCTGGGAGTGAGCTTGCTCCTGGGCAACCCTGGCACCCTGCCACCTTCTTCCAAAAGGATCAGAGGATTCCCACCTCTGCTCCTATTTGGGATTCAGGGTCCCAGGTTTGGGAATGAATGGGAGACACGCTCCTCGGGGCACTGAGTACCATCTCTGCTATTTGAGGACTCCCTCTCTGACTCTAGAACATTCTGTTGGTCAAGATGTAACCAAACTCCCATGGTGCCAATTCTCCTGCCATCAACAGAGGGACCCCGGCAAGGCCCTGAGCAGCAGAGCATGCGCATGGGGACTTCGAGGTCAATTTTCACTTGCCTCTAGAAGCTTCTTATTCCTAGATCTGGGCTATGGGGAGCTCCCTGCCCGTGGGGGCATCTCTCATCGAGCAGGAAAGTGGGAGGAGGGTTTCAGGCCAGGGGACTGAGATTAGACTCCCTGCAGCTCAGATATTTGCAGAGGTGGCCTTGAAGCTCCATCTCCTTCCACATGGACAGATTCCAGGGAGACCCCTTGGAGCTCCAGAGTTCACGGTAACAACGGGGCTCCTGCCTCCAAGGGTTTGGGAGGGAGCCGTCTCCCGGGCCCTTGCCAACCCCTGCGCCTCTGGCTGGCTCACTGATTGGCACTCAGGCCTGACTTCATCAGGAAGATGCCATCTCCCGCCTGCTTGTGGCACCCAGGGTGCTCCGGGGGCAGCTGCCAGCCTGCCTGTCACAGCACCGTGGTGGGAAGCCGGGCCCGGGGCTGGAGCCCTCACACCTGCCGCCTGATCCAAGGCCGAGGGCCTGGCACTGATAACCACTCATTATACCAGCCAGAGCCCTGTCTTCCTAATAAGGCTCCCTGGGTTGCTGCCTACAAGAAACCCAGTGTTTCCTTCTGGTTCGCTGGAGACAGAGTGAAGGAAATATGCACGTGATGGTGAAAGATGAGTAGGAGTTCGGATAAGTCAGACTCTTGAAGTGTCATTAGAGGCATCTGAACATACCCTTTGCAAACTAAAAACTTCTGCCAGGAGGGTCTGGGCCTGGGGTCCTGCCAGAGTTTTCCTGCCTGCAGCTACCTCAGAAGACAAGCCCCCAGGGCATGGAAGGGCTTTGGGTAGTGAGCATCTTACAGGGAGAAGGGGGCCTCCCACTTTTCATTACAGCTTATTTCATGTGGACACAGGGCTGCCTGCAGCCACAGAAAGGGGAGTAATTTGTGATGGCTGATGACAAATGAACACAAACCATTTTTAAAAAAAATATTTATTTTTATTTATTTAGTTGGCTATGCTGGGTCCTAGTTGTGGCATGTGAACCCTCAGCTGTGGCATGTGGGATCTTGTTCCCTGACCAGGGATCAAACCTGCGGCCCCTGCATTGGGAGCACAGAGTCTTAGCCACTGGACCACCAGGGAAGTCCCATGAACCACTTTTAAATGACATTCCAGTGAAGTTGCATCCCAGACTCGGGGGCAGGCATGTCTGAGTGACTCTCTGGAGCCTTCCTCTTGGGGAGAAAGCTCAGCTCTCCAGTTTGCTGGCAGTACTGTTCTTTGCCTCAGCTTTTGTAGCCCCAGGAATGGGGAGGCTTGCCCTCTGCGAGCATCACCTCCTTCGGCTGCAAGAAGCTGCTCTAGTGCCTGGCTGGTGTCTCTCGGTGAATGTCCAGCTGCCCAGACCTGCTTCCCAGGTGGGTTTAGATGTGGATGGAGCCCCTCCCAACCTCTGATGACCCTGCTCTAAGACATCTCCTCCAGGAAGTGGACCCCACACCCTCTTGGTTCTCCCCACCACTGCCCACCGCACCAGATAAGGCCATCCCTTTTCCAGGTCTCCGGGGCTTCCTGTGAACTCCTCTCAGGTGAGTCTGACCCTGGGCAGGCATCCAACCTTGTTCCAGCCACTCCAGGCTCCTTTAGCTCCAATCCCGTGGCACCATGGAGGAGCCCCACAGGACAGGTGTCTCGAGACCACAGAAGCAAAGATGAAGCGCTCAAAACAGCAGTCCTGCAGATCCCAGGGGGTCCGCACGATAAAACTTCCTGGCGGTTCCCAACAAAATTAAAGAAAAGAGGTCATAACAGATGGCCTGAGAAGATCAGGGCCAGAAAATGGTGGTCCTGGGACTCAACGTGGGTTCACTAAGAATCAGTCCTGTTTCGTTGCCAAGCTGGTAGCCAGTGGACAGGCAAACACATAATTTCTGGCTCTTAGTGAGGGATTGAATTACAGACTAGTTATGACCAACCTAGACAGCACATTAAAAAGCAGAGATATTACTTTGTAAACAAAGTCTAGTCAAGGCTATGGTTTTTCCAGTAGTCATGTGTGGATGTGAGAGTTGGACTATAAAGAAAGCTGAGTGTTGAAGAATTGATGCTTTTGAACTGTGGTCTTGGAGAAGACTCTTGAGAGTTCCTTGGACTGCAAGGAAATCCAACCAGTCCATCCTAAAGGAGATCAGTCCTAGGTGTTCATTGGAAGGACTGATGTTGAAGCTGAAACTCCAATACTTTGGCCACCTCATGCGAAGAACTGACTCATTGGAAAAGACCCTGATGCTGGGAAAGATTGAGGGCAGGAGGAGAAGGGGACGACAGAGGATGAGGTGGTTGGATGGCATCACCGACTCAATGGATATGAGTTTGGGTAGACTCTGGCAGTTGGAGATGGACAGGGAGGCCTGGCGTGCTTCAGTTCATGGGGTTAGAAAGAGTCAGACACGATTGAGCGGCTGAACTGAACTGAACTGAACTTGGGCAGCCATGGACTTAAGATGTAGAAATGGGGTTCTTTCATAAAATCACAGAAAGGAATTGGAGATCAGCAATTGTGCCCAAGGACACAGCAGGGACCCTGGGTAGAGGTCTGGCCACCAGGTCCTCTCTGCCCCACTCTGCCCACTGGTTTCCTCCATCATCTGGGGAAAGGCAGCACTGAGAGCCAGAAGGGAATTGCATCTCATGAGTGACTGACCCACTGGGCACAGTGGGGCGGCAGACTTAGCAGGTCCACATTTGTGTTAATTAGACCGGAACCTCCGTCTTGATGACCTGGGAGCATTGCCCTGGCTCTGCACCGGAGGAAGGGGAAGCCAGCCCCAGAAGGACACTCCCATTTCCCAGTGACCCAACTCCAGGGGTGGGGGCCCCTGCAGAAGCTGCCCACCCAGAGGTCACCCGGCTCTTGGGGACTGAGTCACATCCTACTGAGTTGCTTGGGAATGCTTTTACTGGTGCAGTTAAAAGTTTAACGAGGTCGTGAAAAAGAAGGGAAACAGCAGATGAGGTAAGCACATGGCAGCACTGTTTCCAGGGAGGGGCTGGCCAGGGAAGACGGCATCCCTTCTGGGTCCTGCCCACGAGGGCCCCAGGTGCCTCCCAGGCATCTCTGGGTGTTGCTGGTCCTCCAAACTTGCCAGAGCTGGGGCCGGTCTGCCTCCTGCCCCGGAAGCAGGAGAGGCAGTTCGGGGAGCCCGAGGAGAGGTAGGAACGCGGGAGGGGAAGGCGGGTCCGGAGGCCCCAGCTGTGATCAGGGCCTCTGATGCTTGGCCTTCGATGGTGTCGTAGCTCTGGTTTTCTAGAGTCTGAGCCCACGGTTCTTATAGCTCCCACAGCCGCCACTCACATTCAACTTCTGCCTCCGAAACCGAGATCTTTTCTAAGGACCCCCGTGGAAGGTCCTTTCTACTGCTCCCTGAGAGGCGTTGTGTGAGGGCTCTACTCCAGGCTTCAAGCCATGGTCTGTTCCTTCGGCCTCTTCCCTGGCCCTCCCTCATTCCTCAGTTCTGCATCATGGGGCCAAGAGTGGAAACAGAATGGTTACCCTTTTCTACTCAGGTGCCTGAGAGAAAAATGAGCAAAGAAAACCCACTGTCACGTGATCCCTCTCACAGCTGCAAAAGCTCTGAAGGTCTGGACCTCAGATGCTCACTCAGTTGGCATCAAATTTCATCGAAGAGGGCAAATGTAAGACATGCACAAAACAACCCAAGATAAGTTGAGACTACTTCTTTTTTCCTTTCCTTTTTTTTTGTGGTGCCCAAGACTGAGGTTCTTTTTAATATGTCAGGCTTTTCAAAAAATGATTAAAATGCACCAGCTTATTAAATAGAGCCGTTTCAGACTTAATCTAGCAAACTATAACATTTTTATCATTTTTATAAAGCCCTTTTTAATGAAAACCATCTGCAAGGAGACCAAATATCAAGAGTGAAATCATGTTTTCGCTGTATTTGTTATCCCTGAAGATGCTGTTTCCAGACTTTATAGAAATAATAAATTTCATTTAGAAGTTTGGGCCTCCACAGTGGTGCCACACATCTCTGAAATTTCCAATTTACAGCACAAGAAGCTCATCCCGCTGTAATTTTTCATTCTTGCCAGCTCCCGACCACAATTTCATACCTCTTTCATCCCTTTGTAAACGCAGGACTCATGGCAATATTTGACCCAACATGTTTATTTTCTATGAGCTTGAAAAAATGTTGTTCTAATAAGCATAAACTTATTTTCTCGGTGACAAACGTTTGTATCCTGTTGCTCCTGATTCATAGGTCACTGCCCATCGCCGTTTCCCATGAGTGGTGACCCCACCTACTGGGCCTTAGACGTGAGGCGTCCCAGATGGACTCACACTGCCCAGTGTGGAATCTGTATCCAGCGTCCAGGCCTGTCCTGGACACCTCTCCAGTGACACCTCATTAAGACGAGTGAGACTTCCAGCCCCAGAATTTATGCCTGGGCAGAAAGCTACCAAAACACTCCCTCGAAAGTGATGCCTCACGTCTGAGCTCCTCTGGCCTGGCTATGGGGGGCCACCCAGTGACCACGGGCCTGGCTCCTCATTGGAGGCAGAGGCAGCTGGAGCCTGGGGAGCCCGGTGAGGTGAGCCAGGCCCCGAGGCCCCAGCTAGCAAGGTTGTGACTGGCACACGTCCAGTCCGAATAAAGCCTGGCTGAGTCAAGGGCCTGTTGGAGGGCCACTCACCTGGTTTTGGCCCTAATGGCTTCCAAAGCCTGGCTGCAGGGTTCAGGTGGGACCCCGAGGTCAGGAAGCCCCTCCTCGGCTCTTCCTGGAGGGCATCCTGTTAATTGGGGTCTCTAGGGACAAGATGGCTCCCCAGGTTGCTCAGTGGTAAAGAATTTGCCTATCTACAGGAGACATGGGTTCAATCCCTGGGTCAGGAAGATCCCCTGGAGTAGGAAATGGCAACCCACTCCAGTATTCTTGCCTGGAGAATCCCCATGGACAGAGGAGCCTGATGGGCTTCCATCAGAGGAGACTTATGGGGTCACGAAGAGTCAGATATGACTGAGCACGCATACATGCAAAGAAGAGGATTTGATAGGATGATGGGGCTGCAGCCCAGAAAGGGTACATCCGATCCACCACAGCAAACATCCCAACCACAGGCAGACTCTGGAGGACAGTCCCACTTGGTTCAGCCATCTAGAAGTAGGGTGACCAAGCATCCTGCTTGGCCAGGGTCTACAGGCTTTCCTGGGATATGGAGCTTCCGAGCTAATGCAGGAAAGTCCCGGGCAGACCAGGATGAGTCGGTGGTCACCCTATCCTGGGAGGCGGGCAGTGCCTTTGCCGCCTCCGTTGGTGGAGAGACACTTTCTGTTGAGCAGGATCCAGGGTGAACAGGTCTCTCCTCTGCCGTGTTCCGGGAGCGTGGATGCCACCACACTTCCTGTGTGACACAGGAAGTTTCCCCCAGCGGCTTCCACGTGCTGGGTGGAGCTCTCCCACCTCTTCTGCCCCTTGAGTTCGGTAGACCAGCACCTTCCTGCCCACAGTCCTGTTCAGTCCTCGTCATCAGGGGACTAGAAACCAGGAGCCCAGTTCTTTAGCGAACTGGTCTTCCCAAGGGTCCAACCATATCACAGGACCCGGAGAGACATGGAAACCAGAGAAGGCAAGGCTTGCCCAAGGTCGCTCAGAGAGTTAGTGGACAGACTCCAGAGCTCTGACCTCGCAGCCCGTGGCTTTTTCTGCTCCCTCCCATCCCTGGACCTGGCCCCAGCAAACCTCCCCACACACTCTTCCAAGAAGTTAGGCCAACTTTCAGTTCAGCTGAGGTCGCCAAGGACCTTGCGCTGCCTGTGTCTCCTCCAGCCTCACGCGCCCCATCAGTGCAAATACCCCCTACCAGACCTACCGCCAAACTAGCAAAGCCCCGTGCTGCGACTAACAGAGGTCCAATTCAGCCTCCCGGGTGGGAAAGGGATCTCATTAAAGCCCTGGCAGCCGACCTGGGGGCTGAGGTATTGTTTTTAATGGAAAAACAAGAATTTGCTGTTATGTGTTAGATTAAAGGCTTTATCCTGGGGAATTAATCGGATTGCTACTGGCCTTCAGTTGTGGAGCCTCTGACTCCACATCCTGGGAGAAAGCACTGACCGGGGCCGGGAAATTGGTTCATTTCTCTTTTCTGGGGTTTAATGAAGCCACAGACAGCTGGTGCACGGCAGTCCTCCCCAGGGCAGCTGTGAATTACGTCTCACCTGTGCTGCTCCCCAGCCCGCCCCTTCCTCCTGCTAATCCGTCTCTCGCTTGCTGCCCGATTCATCATCTGAAAACACAGCTCTGATCATGAACTGCCACCACTCGGAGTCCTCCTGGATCTGCCAACTGCCTCCAGAATCATGGCCGAGCTCTCCCGTCCCCCAAGCTCTAGTTTTAGGACTCTTAGCTTTTTACTGGAGTGGAATACGCGGGCGGAAAAGTACACGGATCTCAGGGGTACGTAGATGTTTTCACACACTGAGGGGCATATCCCTGCAGCCAGCCTCCTCCGGATTAAGAAGCACGCTCTGACCAGTGTCCCCAGAAACCCACCACCACACCTCTCTTCAGGTCAGCAGTCTCCTGGCCCCGGCGGGGATCGTTATTCTGATTTCTACACTTTAATTTTTTGTTTGTTTTTAATTGGTAACTTCATTTTTGTACATGGAATCGTACATCATGCTGTGCGCTTTTCTGTGTGTGGTTGGTTTAGCAGGCTTTGAGAATGTTATGTCTCCCATCTCTGTGCACCAGGAAAGAGAACAACTTTCCTCCCGCAGTCTGGGAGAGGCCCCACCCTACCTCTACCCCTCCCCCTAGCCCTGCCTCACACCAACACCTTGACCAGCAGGCTAGATACGTCCTCCTCCAGGGAGCCCCTCGTGATCCCCTCCCTCCTGAGAGCCATCCTGGGGGTGGACACTTTCCCACTCCATCCCCTCCTGGTTCAGTGTGAACCTCTGGTTGGACAGGGAGCTATTCAGGATGGTGACTCTTGGGAGCTCCCTGTAAGGGCCTGCCACCCAGGGGGAAGGTTTTGGGATAAGTCTTTGAATGAATGGTCCTTGCCACCCAGTTGCTGAATTCTCGTTCCTTCTCATGTTTTAAAGTGCACTGTCTCAAGGCGGGAGTCTGCTTGCCGCTGTCATCATGGATTTCAGGCGCCGAGGGAATCTCCTAGGGGAGGAAAGGGGAAGATAGAGAAGGGAGGGAGGATGGGAGGGGGAGGTCAGCTAAGTGTATCGAGTGCCTCCTGTGTGCCAGTGCTGCCAGGCATAGAGCTGCTGTACTCCACACGGCCCACTCCAGCACCTCCCACTGTGACTTCAGTTTCCCAGCATGCTAGGTAGCTCTTCGAAAGTTACTTAACCTCCCTGAGCCTCTGTTTTCTGCAAAGTAGGGATTAGGCTCCAAAATCACTGCGGATGGTGGCTGCAGCCATGAAAGTAAGGCATTTGCTCCTTGGAAGGTAAGCTATAATAAACATATTATAGACAGCATAATAGACATAATAGACTGCATATTAAGAAGCAGAGATATCATTTTGCTGACAAAGGTCCATATAGTCAAAGCCATGGTTTTTCCAGTGGTCATGTATGGATGTGAGAGTTGGACCAAAAAGTAGGCTGAGTGCTGAAGAACTGATGCTTTCCAGTTGTGGTGCTGAAGAAGATTCTTGAGAGTCCCTTGGACTGCAAGGAGATCAAACCAGTCCGTCCTAAAGGAAATCAACTCTGAATATTCATTGGAAGGACTGATGCTGAAGCTGAAGCTCCAATACTTTGGCCACTTGAAGCTAAGAGTCGACTCATTTGAAAAGACCCTGATGCTGGGAAAGACTGAAGGCGGGAGGAGAAGTGGAGGACAGAGGATGAGATGGTTGGATAGCATCACAGACTCAATGGACATGAATTTGAGCAAACTCTGAGAGATAGTGGAGGATGGAGGAGCCTGGCATGCTGTGGTCCATGGGGTGCAGAGAGTTGAGCATGGCAGAGTGACTGAACATCAGCAAAGGGACCGGGGACTCCGCCTTGCAGAGCTGCCATGCAGACTGGTGTTAAGAAGGCAAAGAGCTTGCTGAGGGCTCAGCCTGAAGACACGCCCACTGTCACAGCATCTTTCTACCCTGTCTGCATCAGCCCTCAAGAAAAGAAGGAAAGATCAGAAGAGCTCTTTCTACCCTTGGTCTA